CTAAAAGCTGATCCTTCTTTTTCTCTGTCAGAGGGTATGGCATCATATCCACAGTAACAACTGTTCCTTAGCATTATGTTTTGATTCTGTATTAATCTGTTTTCTCCTTGCCTGTGGCTTTTATTAACATTACCGTGTGAACATTAGAGGTCCTTTGCCTCTTAGGAAAAAAAGAAATCCAAGAAGGGGTTTATTTCAAATTCATTTCCTATAGGTTAATGGAAAATAGTAAGTATAAACAATAAAAATCCCTTTGGACCCTCCTTTAGGCTGCCCTGTTAGTGTAACCTCTGCCCCAAATGCTTTTATTTCTGGCACTCCTCATTCTTCCTATCATACGTGAGACACCACTTCAGAGAACCTTCTCTGGGTATACAGATATGTGTTGATTCACAATACACTGTTTGTTTCAGAGACAGTTAACATTTCTAATTGTTAGTTTGACTTGCTGTGTTTAGTAATTAGCAAGGTCCCCTGATGGCAGAAACCACGTCTGTTTTGTTCACTATCACAGAGGCAGCCAAGAGTAGCTTTTCTGCTCAGAGGCAGGGCCTCGAAAGGATGGAGGAGAGGCAGGCGTAGGTCCCACGGCTGCTACTTGAAGGTGAGGATTCAGGGTGAGGCAGGTGGTGGGGAGAGGGGATGGAGCTCCTGCTTAGCAGTGGGATTGCACAAAAGAGAAAGCTAAGGCTAGATTTGTGTAAGGAACAGACACACCGTGGTGGCCAAAACATAGGACATGGACATAGAACAGAGAAGAGGCCAGAGGGACGGACAAGCCCATAGGGATGGCTGACGATTCAGCTCCCCCAAAGCACGATGTCAGGATAGGCTGAGTGACCCGTATGATTTAATGGGATATATTTGAGCACAGAACTACCTACGACAGAAGTCTGCCAAATATACTTCTTTAATAATCTAAAAGATGATCTCACTATAGTGAAAATAGATATTTTGAAGGTGTAGGTTTTTGATATGGGGGAACAGTGGTCTTGATTCTAATTTCCTTAATTCCCAAACTGTGCTGACTCCTTCTAAGTGTAAGACTTGGGCTAGTTACATTCCATCCCAAACCCCTGTTTTCTTCATCTCTAGGATGGAGCTAATAATATTTCACTGAATAATATCCTAGAAATTGATTATGCCTTTATTATATGAAATGCAGAGCTTTTTTGTAAATCTTATCTGTTTGTATGCCTGTTTTTACAGTATGCTACTTCTCTTTTGAAAGAGAGAAAAGAAACAGAAAAAAAAATGGTACTGTAGTCCAAGGTGACATATTAGTCATATTAGTGATGTGTATAGCACTAAGGAAAACTGTCGTCTTGCCTAAGAGACAGCCGCGACCAACCAAGGACTCAGTACTTACATATTTCTGCCTCCCTTCACCATTAAGGATATGAGTCAAAGACAATTTATGTAATTTGTCTAAGACCATCTATTTAGAAAGTGGCAGATTCAGAACTTCAACCAACAGAAACTGGAGCCCAGGGTCTTATACATTAAACTCCTCTTTAGTGTGCAATAATATATTTAGTGATATTATTTATACATTGTAAGACCATCAAATTTAATTCATTTGGTTATGTACTACATTAAAAAATACTTGTAGTAATCATGGCAGCCTGATTGAACACTTTTTAACAGCTTTATTGAGGTATAATTGATACAAAATATTGCATCTATTTACTGTATATAATTTAATGAGTTTGTGTGTATGGATGCACCCATGAACCCATCACCATGATCAAGGAGATAAACATCCATCACCTCCAAGAATTTGTGCCCCCCACGTATGTGGTAAGAACAACGCAAAAATCAGTATGAAATGCTAGAGCCAATAGCATTAAGATATTTTTCCATACATCCAGGACTTTGTGCCACAACCACAGACAAATACTTTCATTGTCATTTGAAGTAAACCATGAAGAGCATGCACATTATATAGAGGGGAAAATTAATGCTTTGAAAAACACACATAAGGATTAAATACCCCCATTTATACTTGCTTGAGAAACACTTTAGAACAGGAAATAATATTCAAATTCAAGGACTGAAAGATTAAACACAACTCAGTTTTGATTAGTCAGATGTGTAGAAATACATGTTAATTGGTAGGCAAGATCTCAATGTACCAGAATCCAATTATAGAGTCTTCAAAACACCAGTGATATAAAAGTTAATGAGACATTTTTAAAGGCATTACAATTTTATGATACTGATTTATTTTGAAAAATGGAAAGGATAAATTTAAGTTTAATATGCTGGAATAAACTTTCTATCTTCATTTGGAATTCCAACCAAAAGAAATATCATTAAATAGGGAATAATATCTATATGTGTATGAATATATATAAAATATTTGGTGTGCTTCTAATTAAGAATTCCTCTTGTTCTTTTTTAATACTGGTCTTGGTTTACTAATGGTCCAAGAAATATGGTCAGTTATATTATTATTGTCCTCTGAATTACAGTAAATGAAGGGAGCAATTGCTTCCAATCAGCACTAATTCAAATGTGATTGGACATATACTAATGCTAACAAAAATAATTACAGCCATGAACCTATATTATAATAAGATTATAATAAGGGGTGAATTGGCTTGGCAGCTCTACAGAACACTTGTTAGAATATATTTTTTTTTCCTAAAGCTGAAAGTGATATACATTTAATATTATGTAGTCATTTTTTTCATTTAACAGAGGCTCATTTTTTAAATTCATTTAATGTAACCCCTTCAGTTGATTAAATGGATGGTTCATAGGAGGCAGTTTATGATCTACAACTCTATAAAAGCAAATGAAAAAAATGAGAGGAATTAATGTCATGTACATAAAATGTTTATACTAGAAAATCTTATTTGATAATAAAAACAGTTAATTTTGTAGGACCTGAGAACTTTATTAATTTCTAAATTAATCTGCATATTTTAAGTATTCATTTTCAAGAAGGGTTCCACTGGCTTTATCTTCAAGATAGCTGTGTTGCTAAAATGAATAAAGGAATGGGTATACATACTGCTAAGAAGGGTTTGCATTTACCAGTTGATTTATCTCCTCTATTTATATGGAAAGCTGTCTTAATTCCTTTATTTACAGAGCTTTGCGATTGCTAAGACTGTTCAGTGTTACCTGTGCTGTGAAGCCTGTTCGTTTTTTGGAGACAGTTCATCTCCTCTTTAGCAGTGTCCAGTGTCTTTCGGACCTCAGTTCATCCATTCCCTGGGAAGCTAACCCTGAAATTTAAAACATAGTGTGTACTAAGAAGAGATTGATTTAGTTAATATATTTTTATAGTGACAACTATTTTTGATCTGTATGTGCTTTTCTCATCCACTGGACCATAAACTCTTTAAGGACAAGGGCGGTGTCTTATTCACAATGTTTTATTTTCAAAATTTATCATAATATTACCCACAGTAGGAAATTAATTAATATGTCATTACATGTTCTACTGACTGCAGGAACAGAACACTCAACGATTATGGCTTAAGCAGATAATAGGCGGTTGTCCTGCCTCGGAAGGAAAGCAGAGATCTGCTTTTCAGGTTTCGCGCAGCAGCTCAATCATGAAATGGACTCTTTTCATCTTTCTCTTCTGCTATTTTATATGTTGCAGGGTAGCCGTTATCCTTTCCTTTTTCCAGAACCATGTCTCTGTTCAGGCAGGAAGAAGGCAGCGAGAAAGGGATATTTATGCTGATGTTTTCATATTTTTCTAGATCAGAAACTTCCCCTGCAGATTTCCTCTCACAGCTCATTAGCCAGAACTGGGTCATGTGCTGCCTTGAGACAAGCCAATGGTCAATGAAATGTAAATCATGGGAGGTTTATACCAATCATGATTTATCCCCTGGTACTGGGATGCGGCTTATTTTCACGGATCAATACCTTCTGTCGTCTACCTGAGTAAGCTGTACTTTAGTTAGCAGGGGTCAAGGGGAATCACCAGTTAATGGACATATGTGTTGCAATAAGCGTTATCTGAAAAGAGATGGACCTTAAAATGAATCATTCATGTCCTAGGATAGCCCCATGGCATCTTTATATTTTTATTTGTACTTGCAAACTTAATATGAGCAATTTTTGTTTCTTTGAGGATAATTATGAATGCATCAATCCCTCTGTATTTTTGGTTACAGTGGAAAGGAACCTATTCAATACTGAAAAGATACATTGTTTTCACCAACTTTTATTTTTAAATGTATCTTGCTTTTATGATTGCAAGAGAAATTCAAATGTTACATTCTCTGTCATTTCTTAGGCCTGAAAAGGTAAATATGGATTTGGATTCCATTCATCACTTAATTGAGGAAACACCAATCTTCCAGATGCAGCCATCGGCGATCAAACCACCATGTGACGGGGTAGCACCTAGCTCATCCCCCAGGCACACCCGTAATTCCTGTTCTCCACTTTATGGGCTGCAGTCTCGTGCTGCTCACAACTTCTGTGCCCACTTGTGCAGTGCCAATGAATGGGATGTTTGTGAGGAACTTCGCCTGCGGGAACTTGAAGAAGCCAAGGCCAGAGCTGCTCAGATGGAGAAGACCATGCGGTGGTGGTCAGACTGCACTGCCAACTGGAGAGAAAAGTGGAGTAAAGTTCGAGCCGAGAGGAACAGTGCCAGGGAAGAAGGAAGGCAGCTCAGAATAAAACTAGAGGTGATGATGAAGGAACTGAGTGCACTGAAAAGGAAACAAAGTTTGCCACATCAACAGGAGACATTGGGAGCTAGAGTTACCCAGGACCTGAAGCATCCCAGTTTCATAGAAGTGTCCTACGCACAAAGAGACCGATTTCAAATTGGTTCGCAAGTGTGTGAGTCTATCAGAGAGTGTCTGGTGAAAGGAGAATTTCCCACAAAGGAGAACACAAATAGTAAGGTGAGAAAAAAATCCACAAAGGGGTCTGGAGACTGTGCATCTCTGAAGGCTGTAGGTAGTAATGGGGAGGGAAGGCAAAGGGACAAATCCCATGGTGACTGTATTTGTCTACTAGGGCTGCTATGCTAGGTACCACAGACCGGGTGCCTTTGCAACACAAATTTGTTCTCCATGGTTCTAGAGGCTAGAAGTCTGACCCCAAGGTGACTACCAGGCTGGCTTCCTCAGAGGCTCTCTCCTTGGCTGGTAGATGGCCATCTTCCTCCAGAGTCTTCCCAGCGTCCTGTGTGTGTGTCCATGTCCACGTTTCCTCCTCTTATAAAGAGACCATCCTTATAAGCCACTTGCCTACCCTAATGACCTCATTTTAAATTAACCACCTCTTTAAAGACCCTATCTCCAAATACAGTCACATTCTGTGGTACTGGGGGGTTAGGACTTCAATATATGATTGTTGGGTTTTTGTTTTGTTTTGTTTTGTTTTGTTTTGGTCAGTCCATATTCCTGAGCTTGCCAACAGTTTTAGCAAAAATTAACTCAGCAGTTTTTGTGTGTACAAAAAGAAAACATCTGAAGAGATTTCTCCCCATGTATCCTAATTATGCCAGTAATAATAAATCATCCACACAGTAGTTTAAACATTTTCCAAGGTCTGGAACTGTGACCTCACAATTAGGTCCTGTGAAATGAGTATGATAGGCAATGCCTTTAGGGAATCCTTCACCCCACCCACTCTTTGAATTTTGTGGTATATTTGGGATCTCTTAAGTTTCTGAGAATTCTGCACAAAATAAACCTTTAAAAAACTTTATGTATTCTAGCAGTTCATACAGTTATATATCCATGAACCATCCCCCGTCTCTATTATTTTTAAATCTGATAAATGCTGTTAAAAACCCATGGAACATATTTTGGGAAATTTTAGGAGTTTATGTTATCACTTTATACAGTACCAGTTTATATTGTTACCCGTTCCTATTCCACCCATCACTAAAAACATAAAATCAGTTAATATCTTACTCTTCTGCAACCATCTAAAAATTTAAGCCTTTCGATTCTGTATGGGACTTGTGGTAGATATAACCTAGATAACATTGTAAATGAAAAAATTTTAAAGTCTGCAGAGAAATGTATTTTATTGTTACAGAGTAGCACATAGAAGTGGAGAACAGCTTGAAGAACGCAAGTTAAAGTTTGGCCACATAACACTATTAGACAACGATAAAGAAATGAAAATAAGAATTTGATGCTGAATCATAACATTTTCCTTCCAGGAATACGTTTTCTTTCTGATTCTTCTATAATAGATTGAAAAAATTCAGCAATGATAACTGTTTTATATATATATTTTTCCTTTCAGGGAGAAGGTTTGATTATTGATCCATTAATATTAAATGAGGAAATGAAACTTCGTTTAGGCTGTCCTGATTTATTCAAGACCAGTGGTTCTGAGAACTGGGTACAGAAGGCTGAAGTAAGACCACAAGCAGTAAACATGCCTTTGGAGAACCAAGTGCCCGAAATTTCACCTTTGCAGGTGTGTTTGGATGAGTTCCAGAAAATCTTATGGAAAGAAAGAGAGTAAGTACTGATCACTGTCTCCCTTAACCGAGTCTGATTTTCACGTTTCTTAAAATTGTTAAGTCTACTAAACTGACCGTTTGATATTGTACTTTACTGATGATTAGTCATTAAGTACTAATATTTAAAGAATGAGTTTGATATATATTCATTTTTTGAATTTTAAAGAGTAGTTTATAACTTGTTTATTTTCCACTGTTTTATCATAACCTTGTCATCATCTCTAGCAGGTGTATATGTTAAAATAGCCAGTGTATTGTCTCATTTTTACACCATTCGTAGACCTCAGTGAGCCAATACAAATGAATATGTTGATATTCATAATGGACAACTCAGTTTTGTGGGGTGTTGATCGCAGAGAAAGATGCTTTGCTCACCCACCGTTTGTGGCATAAGGACAGAGCACTGGCCTTGAGACTCGGTGGCCTGGATACTTCTCTGGGGTCTGCCTTATTCTAGCTATAGTGAGCTAGTTAGCCCAGAGCGTGCTGTTACCTCCTTTGTAAAAATAAGGATAGTGATGCCTGCATTCCACTGTCCCTCATTTCATAACAAAGCGTCCCAGACAGCGGTTGTCACTGCAACAGAAACCAGCATGCATTGTGTTCACGAGTCTGGAGTGTGGCTTTGTCTGGGCGGCGGGCCTCTCATCAGCAGGGGCTCCCCGGGGGAAGCATGGCCAGGGCTGGAAGCAGCTGAAGCCTCGCGCACCCCCGCAGCCAGCGTTCTCTCGGTTCTCTCCGGGTCCCGGCTGCAACACGCGCATGGCCTATCCGTGGGGGCACCTGGCTTCCTCAGCATGGCCGCTTCTTGCACAGTGAACGTCTCAGGAGCACAGAGAGAAACAGGCAGCATCTTAGTGGCCTCGCCTCAACGGTCGTATGGCTTCACTTCCGCCTTCACTGAAATCGCATGAGCATCAAACACAAATAATGTCTGGGGAAGTGACTACTGACATGGGTTACTCAGTGTGGGTGTGTGCTGTTCCTTCATGGTCACCTCAGAAAACTGTGTGGAATATTTAATGCACTTTAAAATGCAGTCCCCCATTCTGAAAATAATTATTTTTCCACTCCTTAGTTATAACACTCTTAACAGGCAGAATTTTAAAAAGCAGAAATGACATACACACACACACACACACACATATGCAATACATGTAAGTATGGATATAATTATATATTATATAATGCTTTTAACTTCCCTGGTTTGAGTGGGTGGAATAGTGATAGGTATGCATGCAAACCTTGCACAGACACTGTAAACTCTTAGCTGTCCTTACTTTTCTGTCAGCCAGAAGTTTCCCGTTAGTCCCTCTCAAATATATTTGCACCACTAATTCCCTTCCTCAGATTCTCTGTCTGTGCCTCCCCATATGAACAGGTTGTGATAATAAAAGCATCTGTGTATAGAATAAATGTTTACTATCCTACCACCAAGTATAAATTCATAATAGATGTAATCAACATTAATAGATGAGAATAAAATTGAATGATATTTTTAGGCCTGACACTCATAATAATAATTAGTTTTATCTGGAACACAGTCAAGTTCTAACCTCTGTATTTTGTTTCTTGAAGGACTTAACTTTTGAGTGGTTATAAACATCTCTCAAGCCCCCTCACAGTGTTACTTCCGGGACATAATGTAAGCAGCAGTAGGAAAGCTGCTTTTTCCCATATGTAAACTCTCCAAGCACGATTTTGATGCCACACATGTGTGTCTTTACACACTCACATACACAAACACATAAATATATATTTGACTTCCTTGGAATAAATTAATAGTCCCCATTCTCCAGTAAGTAAATTCAATAGTAAGTAAATTCTCCAGTTCTCAGCAACTTCAGTCTATGAATCAGACAGGTCAGAGAATAGGGGGGAGGCTCTTCTCTTTCTGCTCAAGAAACTGTCCCATGGGTGTTACGTGTCCATGAATCAACATCAGTGTGCGGTCCACATGTGGCAATTACAGCCTTGATTCTATCTCGAGAGAATGTTTCCCAAGGATATAGTATGTACTGTTCCTGTAAATCTGTCTGATCTTTTAAATTCCTCCTGGAATCTCAGCAAGTGGGTGGCTGGAATTGAGAGGATGGGAATGTAATTTTTTCTATGTTCCCAACTAGTGGGAAAATTCCATTTACTGCACCAGAAAAGTCAACTGAGAGAACTCAGGGAATCATTTCTATCATTGTTACTGATTAGAACCTCCTAATCGAATACACCAAACTTTATTATATTATTTGTACTCTGAATACTGTTTAGTTTTATGAATAATTATCCAGTAAGTTCCTTAGGTATTGAAAGTTTGTATATTTCTGATCTCTTAGGTGAAGTCTTCCCAGGTAGAAAATTTGAGGTGAGGGCAGGAGCCTGGTCCTTGGGTGGTTAGGTGTGCCCAAGCATTCAGGAAGAGGGGTATCGGGGCTTATGTGAGGGGCCCATGAGGTAGAGCTCTTGATGACCTGTTCGAACAGTTGGAATTAGTTCCCCAATTAAACGTCCGTGAGAAAATGTTTGCTCTGTGCCAGTTAAGCTTAGCTTTAATTCCTCCCCTTCAGTTTTATTTGATTCATTTATTTTCTACAGAAGAAAGTACTATGCTTCAGTTATTTTGCTTTGCTTTATTTAATGTTGCATTTTTTTCCTCAATAAAATGAGATTTAAAATCTTGGTAAGAAGGTACAGCAAACTGAAAATGCTTCAAAGTTTGGCATAACATAGAAATCCGTATACGGTTTGTGAATATGTATGTATATTCCTCAATTAACACCGGAACAAATTGGCAGGCAAGTCTGGCTAATATTATTTAACTTAACATTGTTAAGGATTGGAAAGTCAGTCCTACTTTACTTAATTCATTCGCTGTTACTAATGGGATATGCAATAAGCCTTTGCCGATTTTTTTAAAAAAGTAATTTGTGGTTTGCATTTATTTATTTATTTATCTCTATTGAAGCATAATTGACAAATAAAATTTTTATATGATCAAGGTCTACAACATGATGTTTTGACATACATATATGTTGTGAAATGGTCACCACAATCAAGCTATTTAGTACATCTGTTACTTGACATTCTTATTGTTTTGTGTATGTGGTGAGAACATTTATGATCTACCCACTTAGCAAATTCCAAGTACACAATACAGTGTGGTTAACCACAGCCACATGCTGTACATTAGATCCCAGAACTTTTTCATCTTTTACTTGAAAGTGTGCATCTTTTGACCAATTACTCTTCACCTCTCAGCCCCTCGTAACCACCATTCAACTCTGTTTTTATAGTTCAACTTTTTAAGATTCCACATATAACTGAGGTCATATAGTGTTTGTCTGTGTCTGGCTTACTTACTCAACCTAATGACCTCCAGGTTCATTCATGTTGTTGCAAATGGCAGGATTTCCTTCTTTTAATGGATGAATGGTTTTTTCCATCATATATATACACACACACATCCATACCACATTTCCTTAACTTTCTCATTTGTAGATAGGCACTTAGATTGTCTCCATATCTTGGCTATTGACTATTGTGAATAATGCTAAAAGAATGTGAAGGCACAGATGTCTCTTTGAGATCCTGATTTGATTTCCTTAGGCTATCCACCTTGAGGTGAGATTGAGGATTGTCTTAGGGTTCTGTTTTCTAGCTTTTCGAGGGCCATCTGTACCTTTTTCCACAGTGGCTGTACCAATTCTCATCCCACAAACACCGTCCTTTTCACCACTCTCTCACAACACTTTATCTCTTGCTTGTTTGTTTTTTTATCATAGCCATTTAAAAAGGGTGAAGTGATATGTCATTGTTTTCATTTGCTTTACCCTGGTTAGTAATGTTGAGCACCTATTCATACCTTTGTCAGCTGTTTGTATGTTTTCTTTGGAAACATGTCCTTTTGCCATTCTTTAATTGGGTTTGCTATTCCCTTGTATGAGTTCCTTATATTTTTTGCATATGAACCCCTTATCAGATACATGGTCTGCAAATATTTTCTCTATTCCATTTTGTTGGTTGTTTCTTTGCTGTGCAGAAACTCTTTAGTTTGATGTAAGCCCACTTTTTTATTTTTGTTTTTGTTGTCTGTGCTTTCGGAGTTGAATAAAAAACAAAATCATTGTCAATATCAATGTCTAAGAGCTTTTTCCTTATGTTTTCTTCTAGGAGTTTTATAGTATCAGATCTGATGTTTAAGTCTTTAGTCCATCTTGAATTAATTTTTGTGGACTTCTGCAATTTTATTTTTACCATGAAGTATCTTTTGTGTTTGGGCAATCTTCCACCTAGTGCGACAGAGTGTATTTCTCTGCATAGAGTACAAAAATGCTACTAAGTCTCTATCCCAGTCTCCCCTGAAATTAGAGTGCAAACTTTGACACAGGACCAGCTACTCAGATGTAGCCACCTAGACTTGTAAGCAGAAGCTAATGCTCCAAGAAGAGAACCCAGACTCCTGGCGAGGAGGAAGCAGTGGCAGTAGCTGTATCTCATCCCAGAGGCAGCAAGGCCTTTGGTCTCTGGTGACACCATCTTGTGCCTCACATTGCTGGTATTGAGGTCATGCTTCAATGTCTGTACCTAAAAGATGGTCCCATTAAGGTGCTGGTGGGAAGATTTCCATGTCTTTTTCTTTGCTGTTTCTGGCTGTGCATGCTCTCCATTTGCCTCTGTGGCTCTTCCAAAGATTCTTTGAGCTATTATCGTTTTCTACTCAAATTAGCTAATCTGAATATATTTGCTTATCAGACACATAACTGATACCAGGAGAGTATACAGGCAACAGGCGGCAGCGAAGGCGGCAGGAAGTGGGGTCTACAGAGAAGCAGCTCCGCGGGGTGACATGGTGCCGTTTCCTGGCTACGTTGCCTCCGGTGCTTGGGTCTCCGGGCCTCCTGGATGCCTCCAGGCTTTAAGAGTATTCCTTAAATTCATCTTTTCTAATTAAATTAGCTATATATGGCTGTGACTATTTTCAGAAAGATGCTGAAAGATGTTACT